ACCGCAGTCTCTCCAGAAGGCTCAAACCACACACCCACGTGCTGACTCACGAGGGGTCGCACGCCCACCAAGTTCCGGGAGAACGAGGGGACGTGAAACCCAGTGAGAGACCCAGAAGGAGCAGCCGGACACGGCAAGGTGGTAGTGTGACGCGCGGTGACTGGTCCCGAAGTGGGATCAGCCAGCGCCACAGAAACAGGCGCAGGAAGAGGCGTAAGTGTCGTGCTGTCACGAAAGAAGCAGTGAGAGGCTCCAGAGTCCAGCGTGAACGACAGCGAACCGTCCTCTGAGGTAGCCGCTGGACTAGAGTCTACACAAGAGCCTACACTAGCAACAGGCAACTGAGCAAGGCTAGCACCTAAGCTAACAACACCAGAGTAAGCAGAGTCAGAAACACTAGAGTCAACAACAGCATACATAGCATGAGGAGCACCAATCAGATCAACTAACTGCTCAGCAGACATGCCCCACAGAGCGGAGCCGTAGCGCTGAACCAGAGGAAGCCAGTCAAGGGCAGGACCGCCAACCCCGTAGGCCAACCGGACCGTGTCAGTGAGCTGAGCAAAGCACTGACCAGGGGGGTGAAAGCGGCCACAAGGGTGGCCCCGACGAGGACCTGTCAGAACCTGATAGGTGCAGGGAGGGTAAGCAGCACCACGCTGAGGCTGACGCAGCCCCGACCCCGGAGCCAGCTGCTGACGCTGCTGCTGCTGAGGCTGCTGGGAGGAGAGGGGCTGCTGGTGCTGCTGAAGCTGCTGCTGACGCTGAGCCTGGTACCACGCCGCTGCTCCACCTAGCGGGGCCGGCAGTACAGGAGACGACTGACGAGCTCGGGTGTCGCCACCACCAGCAGGCGCAGTGGAGTCACCAGCCGCTGCACGAGAGGTCTCTCCAGACGCTGCACTCCCACCACCGCCAGTCGCAACAGCACCCCCACTACCTCCGCTACCTCCGCCTCCACCTCCACCAGAACCACCTTTCTTGCCCCCCTTGCCGCGGGACCGCGACGCAGTCGTAACAGCAGCTGCAGTCGCGTCAGTAGCGGCAGTGGCAAGAGAGGCAGTGAAGGTGGGTAACTGCGGGACTGTGCACCCGTGGAAGAGTGGGGGGGGCACAGCACCAGAGGCGGCAGCTACCGAGCGAAGGTTGCTCTCGACGTCCTTGAGCGCAGACTCAAGGACCTCGACTGTCAGCTCACTAGGGTGCTTCAGCAGGAGCGCGTCACGTACGGAGGCAAGGCGGTCAGGGAGGCTAGTGGCGATGAAATAGATAGTAATCGCCATGGGGGGAGGAAGCAGTGCAAGCTGTGCCTCAGTGCAAGCAGCGCGGTAACTAGCGTCGAGCGAGCGGAGGTGAGCGATCAAGTCAGCAGAGCGCTCAAACGAGGCGAGATCAGGAAACAGGAACGGGAGGAAAAGACGGCCAAGAGAGACAGTAGCGGGAGTAGAGTAGCGGGCCTTAATCGCAGTGAGGTACGCAGCAGCGGTGCGAACCTGAGTGAAGTGGACCTCCTCTGACTCAGGGAGGAGGCTGCTGAGTGCGATGCAGGCCGCAGCGTCACGTGACGTCCAAGCCGTCCTGTCAGCGCGCTGACGGGCAAAGCGAGCCGTAGCAGCATCGTCAGGGGCAGGACCTAAAGCGGCAGGCTCGGGGGGCTCGGGGAGGTCACCAGTAGCGTGCGACCAGAGGGTCTCGCCCCCCTGGACTTGACTCTCTAACAGACGGCGAGCGCGAAGAAGCCAGACGGAAAAGTCAAGAGGTCTACCGTCAGCGTCGAAACGAAGAACTCGCGGAGTCGCCATAGCGAAAACTAACGCGAACGAGCAGGCGAGTAACAGCAGGAGGTAAGAGGCAAATTAGGGTTCAGGTGGGACTTAGTCGCAGCGGAAGAGCGGGCTAGAGCGACGGGCCAGGGCGTAGGGTCGACGGGACGGGGGAAAGGGCGGGCACGATGTGACGGGTCAGGGCGACGCGACGGGGGAGGGCGACGCGACGGGGGAGGGCGACGGGACGGGGAAGGGGGACGCGACGGGGCAGGGCGACGGGACGGGGAAGGGCGACGCGACGGGGCAGGGCGACGCGACGGGGCAGGGCGACGGGACGGGGCAGGGCGACGTGACGGGGCAGGGCGACGGGACGGGGCAGGGCGACGGGACGGGGCAGGGCGACGGGACGGGGCAGGGCGACGGGACGGGGCAGGGCGACGGGACGGGGCAGGGCGACGGGACGGGGCAGGGCGACGTGACGGGGGGAAAGGGCGCGACGCGACGGTGGGAAAGGGCGCGACGCGACGGGGGGAAAGAGCGCGACGCGACGGGGGGAAAAGGGCGCGACTCGACGGAGGGGAACGGGCGCGACGCGACGGGGGGAAAGGGCGCGACGCGACGGGGGGGGAAGGGCGCTAGGCGACGGGGGGAAGGGCGCTAGGCTCGGCACTAGGCGCGGTAACAACGGAACCGGTACGAACGAGAGGTAGGATCAGGCTCGGGAGATACGAACGGAGAACGGAGGAACGGGATCCCACAGGATCCTAACCTAACTGATACCATGTCAGAATGAGGAATGGATGGTGCATTGATGTTGGTTGGGGTACATATAGCTAACCCTAAGTTTTGTACCCCCTAAGACAAACCTCACTATAGGCTACAACATTTGACAAGAAGGGCAGATGAAACTACTGTGCCTGTCGTATGCCATGCCATCAGTGCAATCAGTGCCATCTGTCAGTGCCATCAGTGACAACAGCAACACCGCCACACTATGTGTGGTGCATGCAGACCCATTTGCACTGCAGAGTAATGGTTGGAGCAGAGGGAGGCACAGGAGTCTCCGCCAAGAAGTATTAATGTGGATATTTTGTACAAATCTTCCTACCTCCCTGCATTCACTAAATTTCTCAGATGCCCCCATCCCCTCCTCTCCTCCACTCCCCACTCTTCCCTCCAATCTTCTCCTCAAGCCTCACCCATTCAATCTCAATGCCCTTGCTCACCCCCTTGCACATGTCATAAACAGTCAGAGCAGCCACGGCAGCAGCAGTCAATGCTTCCATTTCCACTCCAGTTCCAGCCACTGTGCTCGCCTCTGCTCTCACCGCCACTGCGCACCGATCATGGTCTAAAGTCAGGGTCACCCCCACGTTCGATATAGGCACATTGTGGCAGAGGGGGATGAGCGCGCTGGTGGCTTTTGCACCGTTGATTCCCGCGATCTGAGCGACTGTGAGGACGTCACCCTTGGAGAGCTGGTTGGAGGCGACGAGGGGGAAGGCATGCGGGCCGAGGAGGATGCGAGCAGAGGCCACGGCTCGCCGGAGGGTGGGTGGCTTGTGGGACACGTCAACCATGGTGGCTTTCCCGGATGCATCCACGTGAGTCAGGCGGGAGGTAGTTGCTGCTGATGGTGATGGTGATGCTGAGGGCGGCGGTGGTGGTGGTGGTGATGCTGGTGTGTCATTGGTGCATGTTTGGGATGAGATGCGTGTGCTTTGAGTGTTATTCACTGTGCGCTGCTGCGATTCCGCGTGGCGTGGGGTGGCTGGGTAAGGGGGAACGGCTGAATCCAAGGAGGCGATTGGGTTGAGAGAGGATGAAGGGCGTGATAGCGTTGACGGAAATTCTGATCGTGGCGGGTTTAGGGTTGAGGGAGGGAACTGCGAAGGCGAGTGGGAGGGCAGGGGGTCGTCGGACGGCAGCATTCCGAATATGGCTTCCATCTCCTGCTCAGACGGTCAACGTTGGCGTGGGTAGGGAGCGCAGGGAATAGACGGCGGGATGAGTGAGCGGGAAAGCCGGACAGGGTGACATGGCGGGGATAGCGGCCAAACGAGTCACTCAACTAGAGTGTCGCCAGCTTGTCAGCTGTTCAGTTGGTCCTATCACCATATAATCCGCATCCGGTCGCGAGCCGCAACACCCAGAATGAAAAAGGGTTGTCCGAAGATTACAAATACAGTGGTTGCGTAGACCCAAGTGAGACGGCGGGATAGAGGTAGTGCAACTACTAGCAGATTCCGACCTGGTTGAATTCGTCCACATCGGAGGTCGTCGCACCGTTACCCGCTGCTGTTCGCAGGGACCGTACGCGTCGCCATTGAAGCGTTGCAGCCGCCTCCTGCGACGCCGCCGCGCGACACACGACGTGTGCGACTCTGCGAAACATGTCGCAGGGGGAGATCGCACGCCTGACAGGAGAGTAGAATGGAGCCTGGGAAGATGACGCTTTGCAGCAGAATGACCAAGAGGGAGATGGTGATCAAGATTTGTACGCGTTGCAAACATGCATACTGGTGTGGTAAATCTGTTTAACGGTGTGTTGAAAACTATTCAAGTATCGACCTTGGTTTGCCCAAACAAAGTCACTCCAGAATTCAAATTCCTCTGTTCAGTGATGCATAATGATTCATGCAGCCGTCGACAGAACTATGCTGTTCCAGCCGAGCGTAGAATTCTAGGGTTCCTGCACACTATTCTGACACACCATTCTACGTAGAGTTAGTAGCCGATAACGAAGGATGTGTCCGGCTGTAGCAAAGTGCGATGCTAGAAAGCCAATCGACAGCGCAGGCAGGGGCACAACCTATTCACGCGAACAACACCCTTTTAGATTCCATGTCTGCGGCTCCCCAACCCTCGAGTAATACGCGCCATAAGGCGAAGCTCGCTCCGTCGCTATCGACGGTATACGTGGGAAATCTGGACTACGCGCTTACTAACAACGATCTGCACACGCTCTTCGGTGTATTCGGACAGATCGCCAAGTGAGTGAATGAGGAGTGTAGCGAGTAACTGACCGAGTGAGAGAGTGCGAGTGAGTGTGTGAGTGAGTGTGAGTAGGCGGGTGAGAGTGTGGGTGGATAGCGACGTGACTAAGACGAGGGTGGTATGGTAACGTGGGGAGTGAGAGTGGAGGAACATCCTAGAGTGAAGAGCTCAACATCTGTAATGTACTATTGAGGATCTTGTGTTCCCATGCGTGTGCTTGTTGGCAGGGTGACAGTAATGAAGGACAGGGAGACTCGCGAGAGCAAGGGGGTGGCGTTTGTGCTCTATGTGCGTAGAGAAGACGCTCTTAAAGCGGTAAGACACTTGTGCTGTTTACTTTTTAAGGCGACTTTCCAATCTGTTAGTTCTGACTGTAACACGTAAGTAACATGGTATAGTTCGTGTGCACGGGTGCATTTGCGCATTTGCACTTCATATGTACATGTGTGCATGGGTGGATTTGTGTTGCTTGCATGCATGTGTGTGCATGGGTGCTTGCTTGCATGGCAGGGCAGGTAGCAGCGATGCAAGGGAAGCGTCTGAACGGCCGGACGCTCAAAGTCAGCATCGCCAGCGACAACGGCCGCGCTGCTGAGTTCATTCGACGCAAGGTGAGCTTATGAGACCAAAGGTGAGTTCTCACACAGCCCAAAGCACGTCGTGCATTGCTCTGATTGACTTGCGTCTGCTATGTAGTTTTTTTCAGGCTCCAATTCCCTTCTATGGTGTGGCATGGATATACCCAGTCTTACTGTGTCATAAGTGAGTGTTACCCATGCATCTCCGTTTCCCTCCCTCCCCACCTATTCGAACAGTTGCTGCCGTGTCTCTCCCAGGAGCACAAGGGCCGCTGCTACGACTGAGTTTTTGAGGCAACAACTCCCCCTCCTTCCCCCCGTGGCTGTCGTGTCTCTCCCAGGAGTACAAGGACAAGAGCCGCTGCTACGAGTGCGGGGATGCAGGCCACCTGTCGTACGAATGCCCCAAGAACCAGGTCAGAACCAGGTCAGGGGAGGGGCTTGCTCTGATGCTGTACTTCCCCATCAGGTTCGCCATCAGGTTCGCCATCAGGTTCGCCATCAGGTTCGCCATCAGGTTCGCCATCAGGTTCGCCATCAGGTTCGCCATCAGGTTCGCCATCAGGTTCGCCATCAGGTTCGCCATCAGGTTCGCCATCAGGTTCGCCATCAGGTTCCCCATCAGGTTCGCCATCAGGTTCGCCATCAGGTTCGCCATCAGGTTCGCCATCAGGTTCGCCATCAGGTTCGCCATCAGGTTCGCCATCAGGTTCCCCATCAGGTTCCCCATCAGGTTCCCCATCAGGTTCGCCATCAGGTTCCCTGTGCTGCACTGGTAAATTGAATGCATCGGCAATAATAAAGGAACTGCGAATACAGTAAGATGGTGGTTCTGTAACTCATTTTTCGTAACTATTCCTCTCCATGCTTCATATCCAACCCCTCATGCATCTCTCTGCTCGTCCCTCTACCAGCTAGGCCCACGGGAGCGGCCCATTCCAAAGCGCAAGCGCAAGAGCAGTGAAAGCAGAGAGGGGAGAGGAGGGGGGAGGGGAGGGGGAAGGGGAGGAGCAAGAGATGGGGGGACAGAAGCAGGGGGGGTGAGAAGGGGGGGAGGAGGTACAGGTGCAAGCGGGAATGGAGGGGGGGAGGCGGAAAGGGGAGAGGATGAGGAAGAACAGGAGGAAGAGGAGGAGTATGATGATGACGATTGGGCGTCGGCTGTGGCTCCCAGGTAGCTCCTTCCTCCAGCCTCACCACTTGCTACTCTTCACCAACACTGCAATATTGTTGCACTGCATTATCATTAACAATGTAATACTCAATACCAACTCTCCTCATTCCTTCTCAACCTTCACTCACCTGCTGTCACCTTCTCTCACCCCTTCCACGCATTTTGCCTGCTCGCTTATTCCTTCTTCCCACGCACATCCCGCTGTGCAGGCAGAGCCTACAAACAGATCACTGCTGGTCGGCGAGTAGCTCAGATTGCTTGCGTCCTTGCATAATCTCTGTTAAGTTCATACAGAATACTCCCTCAAACATCCCAACCACAGCACTCACCCATTGTGCCAGCAGTACCAGCAGTGCTTAAAAACGGATGCTGTGAGCAGTTCTGTTTGCTAGCATACCCCACATTCCCTTGCCCCTCTCACGTCCCATCCCCCGTGCAGGCAGAGCCTACAAACGGCTGGAACGTCAACGGGAGCACCCCACGGCTTGAAGCTGTCGCTCAAGGTATGCATTGAGGCTAACAAGGGGTGTTTGATAGAGGCTAGCAACAAGGCCTTTTGGGAGCCTACCAGTAGGGCATCTGTGATTATAGCTTTGCAACGTGATGTGAGTCCTTTGCTGTATTGTTACACGTGCTGTTACATGGTACCGGTATGTGCTGTAACACAAATGTGCTGTCAAATGTCATGTTCTGTAATGCGACGTGATATGTGCTGCGCGTTCTGCTTACTGTGCTGTGCAGGGACCGAAGAAGCATCGAGGCTACTTCAGCGATGAGAGTGGTGACGACGAAGATTGATGATGGACAGGGATCAAAACGATTGTTGACAGCGGACTGACATGGACCATCTTCAAGCTGGCTTCTATGCAAGTGTAATATTGTTCCGTGGCATACGGTAGCCGCGAGCCATAATTGGTGGCTCAGATCTAAGGTGTGTGTTTGGAACAGCTACAGCATGTATGTACTCCCTACACCTAATTGACTTGTTCAGCATTGGAGAACGATAAGATCTTATAGACTACCCGTTCTGCAAGTGCCAGTAAAAATTGATTTGTGCCTTGTTGGGCTTTACCTGAATATCACTTGCTGTGTGCTTTTATACTATGTTAACACAATAAAAAAGCTGGTATATTGTTGGGACTTCCTTATATCTGTCGGTTTCACTTATGTGTCGGCTGGCACGATAGTTGACGTCGGCGCGGCCTAGGAAGACTGTAGTCAAAGTAGGTCTGGCCAGCGTCCACCTCTAGTGCCCCACCGTTCCGTCAAACCGTCGCACACCTGCCTTCTTGATGTGCCACGTCGGCATTTGACCTAAAGAAGTTGTCGCTAACAAGAACGTTACAGAAATCGACAACGCTTTTGGAAGAAACCGTCAGGCTTTCGCTCAGGCCATCTGGCCCCCGCCCACCCAAATTCACCACGGCGACGCGCATCACAGCAAAATCGAGGCGCGATGATTCGTTCTTTCACCTCATTGGTTGGCGATACGGATTTCGGCCAAAAATCCCCAAGTGCCCAACAACGGCCCAAATCCGCCTACCTTTCAGCAGCAAGAGCAGCTCTGCAGCAATTTTGCCCTCAACGTTTCTTGCTCGCGGCATCTGCAACACAGTGCAATACAGCCTTGAAATGGCGGCAGATCCACCTGCGCTGCAAGCTAACCTCGCCCTCCTGTCACTCGAGGCGATGTGACCTTCGTGCCTTGCCTCCGCTGTTCCAGCAGCTGTGTTCGTTAGTCTTCGCAAGTCTCTGTTTCGAACCCTCGTTGTTGCGGGACCCCCCTCGGAAGCTCACCCTTCCGTCACTTCTTCTCACGCACGCTCTCATAGTCGCAAGCTTAGTCTAGGCTATCGCACTCACGCACCGCCCCTCGAGGGTCGGTGCCCACTCGCCCTCGCTGTCGCCAACCCACCTCACAGTGGATCTCGAAAATGGGCTTTCTCGCTCGTAGCAGCGTCCTGTGGCTCTTCTTGTCCACTGCGCACGCACCCGCGATATTAAGGCGGACGTGCAAGAGTGACGCTAAGTGAGCGTATAAGATCGCTGGTAGTAGCGCTGGAAGGACATTCAGCCCACTTGCGGCATCGCGTCGAGGTATTTCAGGAGCTGCGTCGTAAGGATATCAGTCTATCAGCTGCCTTACTGTCGATTAGGAAGCGCAAAGTAACGTTCGCGTACAGCCGCTCCGCGGCAATTTCCACTTCCTTCAGTCGTCATGGATATGAGTTTTGACTTCCTAGCACAACAAGAGGATGCTTTCTTGTTCCAGCCCGCGTTTACAGATTCCCATGAAATGCTAGCAGAACCAGAAATGATATTCGCGAAGAGGGATGGCGAACAGGATAACAGTGGTGCCGTAGGCGCGCAGGTTGATGCTGCGACCCGTCTAGCAGATGAGCAACGCGCCTACGACGACCTTAAAGCCCTCCTAGACGCCACGAGCGCCACGGCGAGTGCTTTACTTCATAACCCCGACGCGAAGGAAGGTCAGGAAGGTCTCGCGTCCGCTGGCGGCGTTCGGGCCGGTGCGGGGATTGCATCAAGCGGCGGATCTCTTAGCGACCCGCACTTGGCGCTGCAGCAGCTTCAGTGGCTGGAACGCGCGTCGTGCGCTCTCACTAAGTTCCTTCCCCTTCTAGCCACGAGTATCCGTGACGGCGTTACCACAAACAGCGCCGCGAGCACGAGCGCCAAAGCGCTTGAGAAGACCGACAAGGGGGAGGCAGCAGCTACCGCCGGCTCGCCGGGTTTCGTTGCACAGATGCTTGCTGCCATGTCACAGCCGGAAGGCGCCGTGGAGGGAGCAGACGCGTCGGACGAGCCGCCGTCGCAGCAGCAGCGGAAGATAGCTGAAGAGGAGGAGGACGCGGCAGCGCTGTTCCAGAGCCTGCAGCGCGACATTGGCATGGCACCAGGCGATGAGGGCAGCGACTCCACCGTGCTACAGCCGCTACAGCCGCAGTCGCTGCCACCAGTGGATTCTGTATGCGCAGGGGACAATTGCATCAGTGATGCACCAGTGGAACTTGGTGCGGCTGCTTTAACAACTCCAGCGTTTGCGTTCCCTAACGGCTCTGCAGCTTCTGTGGCCGACAAAGTCAACGTCAGCGCACCAGAGCCTCTCTCTTTCCATCAAGACATGGCTGATCACAACAGCATGTACATGGAGAAGGAAGCTGGGCTCCCAGCTGCTGCGCTGCTTGACAGCGTGCCATACGCCATGCTTGCAGGAGACTCTGGTTCCCTGCTTGGTTCTGCTATTCAGAATTTTCCTGTGCCATATCTGGTGATGGAACACACTCAGCCTGAGCTCCCGCACGTGTCATCTGCTGCAGTGGCGACGTCGCTGCTTGCACACCTGGCTGGGTCCCATCCTTCCAGCCCAGCATCGGAGACCTCTTCTGCGCCTGTTGTCGAACCTGCTGCCCTGCTTCCTCGTTACAGAGGACCTCACTATAAGGGAGTACGCCAGAGAAGGTGGGGACGCTGGGTTGCTGAGATTCGCGAGCCGCGCAGGCGCAGCCGCATTTGGCTGGGCAGCTACGATGAGCCTGAGGATGCAGCCCGAGCATATGACACGGCTGCTCGACTCCTGAGGGGCAAAAAAGCCCGCCTGAATTTCCCTGCAAGCAATGCTTCTGCACCGCTTCCACATGCTGCTGCGGAAGCTGTGCTTCGCGCTCTGAGGAGGATGCAAGAGACACAGGAACCGCCCAAAGGTTCAATGCTTTAATATTAGCTCGTTGAAGAATCTGTCTGCTGGAACTGTACTGCCATGGGGTAGTGGACTTGCCATGTGTATGAATGTAGGGAGTTTGGGAGTGTCCTAAACTCCATGGCAGTGCAGTGCAGCTTCTCAATCGCTTTTCTTTTTATTTGTTTGCAGTTGTATGCTAATCAAAATTTGTATTCTGCTAGTTTCCCAATATTCTCACCGCACCATACCCAGCTCAGAACTTGGTTATACCCCACCTTGCGAGCGTGCGATAGGCACGGGAACAGTTGAATGAATAGACCCTCTGCCAGCTGTAAGGGCTTCTAGTTGGTTGAAAAAGGGATGCAAGTTTTGTCGCTATCTGTAAGGACATGCTTATTGCCGTTCAGAAAGACAGGAGCAGGTGAAAGGTACCAGCCGTAAAGCTGGCATTGGTCACGTACACTTCACTATTCGGGCACTTTATCCCACTGAGTAGGGCGAGTTTGATCATTTACATATCTCACTAGTTGTTGTATCCCAGACATCATTGTCGATGGTTTTGTTCGGTCACAGAACCAGTGGAACGGATGTGTTCACGTCTTCCCCACCTGCCCACAACCCCACTGCACCAGTGATCCACCCACAAATTCGATCTGCCCATCCCCCTCATAACTCTCCGGATCTCTGTCAACCTCGAGACTCCAGCTGCGTGCTTGTGATTGGCCAACGACCACCCCCAAGCAAACGAACTTAGGCCTCCCAGCCCCCGTTTCTCTCGAACTTCACAAACGACACGCCATTCCGCGTTTCTCTCAGCAGATACGTGCATGCACTTGACCGAAACTCGGCTCGGACGCACTGTACACACTGCCGTACAAAAGACCTTTCGCTCTTGAGTCTCCGTTTCCGAATCCCGAATCACGATCACGAGTCACGGGCACTGACAGCTGGGTGTTGGTTGAACACCTCCCAAGCTTCCATTCCAACCTTGAAAGAGTGCGAACGAACTCGTGGTCGAGGCATGTCTTGCGCTGCTCGTCAAAGCAAATTCACTTCACCAAGTCAATGTTGGCCCTAGGTTACGAGAGACGCACAAGTAAAGATCAGCTGTGCAGCTTTCAGCTTTCACGAGGTTATCAGGTCCGTCCAAGAGGTCTTTAGGTCGTCGCGTGTACAGTGGCTAGCATTCGCCTGTGTTTCAAGAATCTCGCATGGGCGCCGTACGGCGATACTCCGACTGTCAAGCGGAGGTCGCGCGGAAGCTCCTCGCATCGCTTCCCCCAGCGGAGAGCGCCGTCCCCACACACCACCGCCGTGTTGGCGGCGCGCTGGATAAACCGCGCGAATGCACGAGCCGTGATTCGAACATCCAGAGCCCCGACATGGAAAGGGCAAGCAACAGGAGGAGCCCAGCATCGAATAATAAGAACGCCGGTGACGGGGAGTTAGCGTCGGCGAACGGAATCAACAACAGCAGTAACAGTAGCACTAACAAACGCATCGGGAGCAGTAAGGTCGTCGGGTCGCGAGATGTGTTCGGCCAAGCCGCGGCTCCGCAAAAAGAGCTCGAGCCGCTCAAGGCGCGGCGGCGGTCGAGCAGCGACTGGAGCGACGGAGCGAACCCAGTGGGGATCCTGGACGACATCGGCGATCTGTATGCGACGAATGACTGCGACGATGCAGGTTCCTTGCGCGAAAACGCGCAGCGCCGTGACTCCCTCCCGCGAGTGACTGGCGACACTACTGCCGCCATTCCCCGCGCGGGCTCGGCGGAACTCCCGGCGCTGGCAGCGCAAGCTCCCGCGAGGCCTGCCGGTGTCCCGCGACAGGCGGGTGCGACATCTGACGCGCGTGCAGGTCGCCGCCGATCGTTCGACGGGCAGATTGACCGGGTGAAGAACCCCGCCATTGCGGGCGGCGGCGGCGGCGGCGGCACGGGCGCCGTCGGCTCGCCTGTGTGGGCGGCGGAATGCGGGGATCTGTACGGCAGCGAGGAGGGCGACCACGTGCCGATCACGTGGCATGGCGACGACGATGAGGATGGGGTGAACGCACCGGCACACGGCAACCGATTAGCGTCCGCCGGCAGCATCGACGCCTTGCAAGCAAAGGTGCGCGCGCCGCCGCCCACTGGTAGGGGTTCCGCGAGTGCGAGAAGTGCTTCTGCGGGTCGGCCAGCCCCGCGCGCGCTAAAGGGCGCGGTTGAGCAACAAGAGGCGGCGTGGCTTCCGCCTCGCGCGGCGAAAAAGCCGCCGCGATTGGAGGACGAGGATGAGGAGGGCGCGGGGAGCGACAGCGGCGGTAGCGGAGGCGGCGCGGTGGTTCGGCGTCACACCGTGGGCGTGGTCGGGCGGGAGAGACGCGCTGCGAGTACGGGCAGGGCGAGAACGGCGCGGAGCGGAAGCGGCGGGCTGGATGACGTGGCGCTGCGGAATAACGCGCAAGTAGTAGCGCGGAATCCGGGCGTTGTGGCGGCGATGGTTGCGGGGGAGGAGGACGGGGAGGACGACGGGGACGAGGCGGAGTGGAGCAGCCCCGAACGCAGTCTCCGCCGATCAACCACTGTTGACAGCGCAGTGCGCCGTCGCCCCGCGGGGGGCTGGAAGGGGAATATTGGAGAAATTCCGCCCGCGCCGGAATCCGGCGGGTCCCCGTCCGCGGGGAATGTGCGCGCGGGGGCTGCGCACGCGCGGACGGGCTCCGCGGGGAGCGTTGGGCACGGAGGCAGCATGGACTGGGACGCGGAAGACCATCGCGGGCCGCCGCCACAGGCGCAACCGCAGCCGCAGGCGCAACGACTATGGGCGGAAGAGGGGGATCAGCAGTGGATGCAGCGGCAGCCTCCGCAATGCATCAAGGCGGCGCTGCGCGCACGTGTGGTCGGGCGCCTCGGCGGCAATACCGCAAGCAGCGCAAGCGGCGCTGCGGGCGCCGCTGGCGGAAGGCCGTTTATACCCGCGGGAGGGGCGCTACCTCCCCATGTTCCGCCGAACTGGGCGGCGGGTCCATTTCCCCCTTCCGCCTCCGCCACCACTAGCTTCATTCCCCCCCATCTTCTGCCATCCCGCCCCTCCGCGAACTCCGCCCGCTCAATTTCCGCTCCGCCCGCCCGCCCATTCGCTCCGCCCGCTGCCCCGGGTCCGGGGGCGCACGCGGAGGAGGACGCGCAGCAGCTTCCGCCGCCCCCGCGCCTGCTGCGCACGCTCTCGTCGCTCTCCTCCTCCTCCGCGCGCTCGTCCTGCTCCCACGTTTCCACCAGCTCCGCCCCCGCCGGCCCTGTTGCGCTGTCCGCCCTCCGCGCGCGCGCGGAGGCTGCGGGGGGCAAGCAGAGGCGCGGAGCGGGCGCGGGGAGACCAGCGGGCGGAGGAGGGGAGGGGGGGAAGGAGAGCAGCGGGAGGGGGAAGCCTGGGACGGGGACAACGCGGGTGAAGGTGGCGGAGAGAGTAGCAGTAGGGAATGGCGTGCAACGAGTGTACTTGAACTGATATACAAATAAGGGGAATGCTCCAGGTTTCGCATAGTAATGGGTGGGACAGTAAAGGGGATGGTGTTGGATGGTGCAAGAATGGAGGCGCAGGCAAGGATGATAATACGGGCTAGGGCATTGGTGATGGTGCGGGCACTGGTGCTGGCAAACGAGCAAGTTTTTGCAGTGCCTGGATTGGATTCTCTCTGCACCAGTGCAGTGTGTTACAAGTGCTCTCTGACTCTGCAAGTCGTGCCCCAGTACGTGCAGAGCGCATGTGCAAGAAACATGCTGCAGAGATCAAGAAGCAAGACTTTATGGCCATGCCGACAGCAAGCATGCCAACCTTTTTCAAGCTTACACTGAAGTTTGAACTAACCCTTTCCCTCCCTCCGCCTTCCCTTTCAACTCTCCCTGATAACATACCCTTCCCTTGCCACATAACCCCCTTGCTTCAACCATTTCTTCTGCTTCCCCCCCTCCCTTCAGCCTGCATCCTCCTCCCGTTCTTCCTCTCCCAATCCACTCCTTTCTATACTATGGTACGGTATGGTGTGTCGAGTGGATGGTCGGGTGGAGATATGCTGCTTTAGGTCCCCTCATTCCTTTCCTGTCTTGTGCACGCCAAGGACAGTCTTCCACATTATCATAACCTCTCTGCTCTTTGACCCTGCCATTCAATTGTTGTACTATATAACACTTATTGTAATATCTAACTTATACAAATCTGCCTTCTTGGCTGGTGGCTATGGCATCTTGGCCGGGACATGGCATGCTGCCACAGCAGAAGACAGCGTTCAGTCCGACTCAACAAGCAGAGGAGCATGTGACGATACTGCAACTGGAGAATGTAACAACGTTACCTGCTGTGGTTGCATTATGTTACCGTATGGTATGGGGTATTTGCACGGTACCCCCTGGGTCCTGACCTGACCATTCCCGTACTGCAGCAGTACCCCCTGGTGTTTGCACGGTACCCCCAGTTGAGAGCAATCCCTGTTTCTTGTCAGTTCCTGCCATCCCCATTTGGATGCCTAACTCGTGTCCTACAATCAAGTGTCCTGTTCGTGGTGGCTGGCCCTGTATGTGCATCCACGCTGCATGCAGCTCATGGTTGTCTGTCCTGCATCCATCACTCCGTGTGCATCATCCGTCTTTTTTGCCCTACTTGTGTGTTTGCGCCCGGCCGCCTTCTAGGTTTTTCCATGCCCACCCCACCCAACTATTGTACCACATCCACACACAACCCAGCACAGCACAGCGCAGCACAGCACACCAAAGCAACAAGAAGCACAGCAAAGCACATATCACAGCTAAGGACAGTTACGCATGGGTAAGCACAGTGGCTGATCTTGAGATTCTTCTGGTGGGCCCACCGTCATGCTGAACTTTACAAATCCTCCTCTGGCTCGCCCTGCACTGCACCACACAAGAGCCACCCAACGGGACATGGAAGAACGGGGAGGAAAGAGAGCAGCGAGTCACTTACCGTAGGTACAGAAAGTTGCTGGCAGGGGCAGCAATGGGACATGGAGAGGGGAGGGAGTCACTTACAAGAAGCAAAACCGCACACCAGAACACAAGCGAAGCTGAATACCGTAAAAGCAACAAAATATTTGTGTGCTGTGCTCATGTCAGAGCGGTCGTGTGAAGCAAGCAATTGCTCAGAGTGAGAAACGGTAAGGAAGCAAGGCCAGCAACTCCCCCCTGCAGAAACTCCCATCATACCTACCATGAAGAAATGCACAGCACTGCCGTTGCTGCCACTGCTTTCCCCGCAGTTGCTGGCAGGGACAGCAATGGGACATGGAGAGGAGAAAGAGATGAGGGCACCGTAACAAAAGGCCACAGAAAGAGGGGTGGACGAGCAACACAAGGATGAAATTAGACAAGCAGGACACCAAACCAAGTAACTGGGAACTGGGATGCAATAGACAAGAACGCAAGTACTCAAACCAGCAAAATTTTAAGGGAACTGGGATGCAATAGGGTAAGCTGTAATCACCCGTTCATGGCTGTAGCCGCAAGCGCTGCAGGTGGTTGATGATGCTGCAACTACCCCTGCCACCACTACAGCTGCTGCTGCTACCACCACTGGTGCCCGTGCTGCTGGTGCTGGATAGATGGGACGGACGAGAGGAGAGCAGAGAAGAAGAGAGGACAGGAAGGGAGGAGTTTGGCCGGAGTGCTGGAGAGGTAGGAAGGCAAGGAAGAGGACAGGAGACGTGAGCAAGGAGAGAAGAGGCGAGTGGATGAGCGGATAACAGAAAGCTGGAAAAGCGACTGAGATCAAAAGCAACGCTCGGTGCATTAGTGCTGCTGTGGAAAGGTCACTTCCTGTTACCTCCTGTGTCGGAAGAGGAAGCAGCTTGTTGTATCAACTTCCCTACAGGCGTGCTGCTCCGTTACTGCCACTGCCCATGCTTGTCGGCCGTGAGGAGCACACGCACATGGGAAGAGAGACATGCACACAGAAGCGGCACAACAAGGGAGAGTTAGAAACACGCGGCGAGCTGCGGAGTTAAAAGCACGAGACACGACTCTTGCCTCTGCGCGGCGACGCTCTACGACTCACTACACTCCCCCCTGCAAGCACTCCCTGGCGCGTACCACACTCTGTCCGCTGCTCTGCCACTCCTGCACCACGCCTTCCCTTCACGCCTGCTGCTCCAAGTTGCTCCAGGTTGCTCCGTTGCTCCGACTGCCCATACTCGCAGGCCGTGAGGCACACACACGCATGGGGAGAGAGACACACACACACACAGAAGCGGCACCAACCAAGAAGAGAAGGTTAGAAACAGCAGGAGGCGAGTGGCGGAGGTAAAAGCACGAGACACGACTCTTGCCTCTGCGCGGCGACACTCTACAACTCACTCCCCTGCCCCCTGCAAGCATCCCCTGGCGCGTACCACACTCTGTCCGCTGCTCCGCCACTCCTGCACCACGCCTCCCTTCGCGCCTGCGGCTCCAAGTTGCTCCAGGTTGCTCCGATGCTCCGACTGCCCATACTCGCAGGCCGTGAGGCACACACACGCATGGGGAGAGAGACACACACACAGAAGCAGCACCAACCAACAAGAGAAGGTTAAAAACAGCAGGAGGCGAGTGGCGGAGGTAAAAGCACGAGACACGACTCTTGCCTCTGCGCGGCGACACTCTACGAATCACTTCCCTCCCCCCTGCAAGCACCCCCTGGCGCGTACCACTACATTCCTGGAGAACGCTGGTGAGCGTAAGGCGAATCTTGAAACGACGACAGGCGATTTTCCAAACAACGTCACGCGATTCTTGAAACGACGACAGGCGATTCGTCCGACACTGCAGCAAGAAGAGGAAGGGTACACGCGTTAGTGGGAGGTTTACTTTCACACATGACGCGAAGTGGGAAATTGACGAGACTCTCTAGGCATTCCTATCCTAGACGCCTACATGATTCCCCCCACCAGCCGTCGCTATTACGTACCATTAAAGCTTCATTCATCGCGAGCAAGGGAACGCCGAGGAACTCGATGCAATCGCATGCGATCGTCATGGTGTACGATCCTCAAGGTCCCGTGACCTGCGTCACTCTGCTTGCAATGCCGGTCGGCGAACGCTACTGCTGCCGTTTGCGAAGAGCTGCGAACGCTGCTTTCCGTCGCTGATTCGTATTCCGAAAAAAACGATGCGTTGCTCCCGGCCGGCAATCTTGAGAAACGTTGGTTTTCGACTGCCAGCTTCAACGGCGGAGCCAATACTCCGTCAGTGGGACTGGACGATGCATCCCTTGGCGCTAACCCGAGACTCGCTGGAACAATCGCTTCCGTCGCACGAGCCTCTCGTGACTTGGAAGGCTACTTCCGGTTATTGTACATGTCAGCTGTTGCGCCATGTCGTCTTGTCGCCGCGTCAATTCACTCTAGAGTTTCGCAGGTCGCTGGAGGGCAAACAGAGACCAGCCAGGTGTAAAGCTACGGTCTGCTGCTGTGGGACGCATCCGTCGCGAAGCTTTTCGCGAAGAAGCCTTGCTGGGTGTCGCAACCGTCGTACTGCAGCGTGCGACGGTGCATCAGGGAGAAATCATTCTCAGAGTGAACTGTATCAACGCTGAGCCTAGCTGAATCTACGCTACCACGAGCAGCAGTTAGGCCGTCTCTTAGGGAAGTCACCCCTCGCTAAAAGATAACGAAGACGACATTAGGACCTAAATGTCTAACATTGTCGCAACGCACCGGAAGATGACAAATGCGAAAGCTGAGCCGTGGAATAGCAACAGAGAGAACCGACACAGGAGCCATAGGCTATAGACAAATTAAATACTCGACTACTTGACATATCCTCCATGACTATAACTCATCGGTCTAATATTATCGAACCGTAGCCGTACTGTTGCAGGAACTAAGAAGCTAAGAGACCTAGTCGGCAACGTAGGAGCAGCAGGTATGGAGTTTGCGAGGAGAAGCACCAGGCAGGTCGAGTGGTTTGCGTTCTGAGCGACGGAGGACAGCCTTGGGAATGCCTTGGGGATTGCTGGCTCAGCTTGAGAGCCGTGAGGAGAGCAAAGCAGCAGCCGTGTGACGGCAAGGGAATTTCATGGTATGGCATGGCATGGCATATTCCTGAGGGAATGGTGCGGCGAGAGTTGGGCTCGACGGCTCGCGCTTCGTAAGGCCGAGGCTTTCTGACATGCTCGTGGGGTGATTGGGCAGAAGTTGGGCGCCAAAGATGTGACAGAGCAACTCAAATTGAAAGCTTTCGGCAATTTCTCGCTGTAACGTGTCTCGATATATATCTTTCACAACGCTTTCACAAAATGGCGGGTCTTAGTCGTTTCGTTAACATGATACATACACCCATTCCATGAAACAATCAAGTCAATCTCAGCAACTGAAATGCAGCAATTTGTACAACCCTACTACGGTACACGATAAACAAGGCAAAGGACTAGCCCACACATGCCCTTCATCACTTGTCCCCATTCACAGCCTCGCTTGCTGATGCTGCTGAGTCCCTTGGACAGCAGCTGAGCGAGGAATAATAAGCGCATCATAATGGCTGCTGCCATTGTACAGCACACAGATGGCGTCCTTGCTGCTGCTGATCCCTTCACCTTCCACTCTCCCCTCGTTTCCCTCCTGCTTGCCGGCATACTCTCGCCCGTACTCAGCAATGGGCATGATGGCGCCAGAGCGGGGCGAGCGCGGGTCAGCAATGAACACCGTGATGGGGGACCTGCGCACGGGAGGAATGGAGGGGAGGAGCGCAGGTGGAGATACAAACATAAGCGGGACAGTGACGAATGGACTCTGAGCAAAAGGAGACATAGAACCATGCTCACTGGTGGAAAGACGGGTCGGAGAAGGCGAGGAGGCATCAGGGCAGGGCAAGAGCATGGTGAAGGCAAAATGAGAAAGAAATCGACAGGAAATGAAAAACAACTCGGGAGCAGTGGGATCGGACGAGGCAACAAGGAAGGACAGGGAGCAGAGGAAGAAGAGGAGGCGAGAACCTACTTGAGGACGTGGGAGAGCATGAGGAGCTCTGGCTCCCCTCCCCAAACATAGGGCTTGCGGATGTTGGCCACGTAGTCATCGAAGTTGCCCTCCAGGAACCTGCAGGTCAGGCAACCACGCATGTCGCACATACCAAGAGCAGGGTTGAGACAGCTGCCTTTCCCCGGTTTTGGCGAAAGATAACGCAAGTAGATGGCGGATCCCAGAATGCGTTTGGAAAAATAAAAACGCAACGTGGACGATATGTAACTGCAGAGCGCACAGCGGCAGCCAGCCAGCGAGCATGTCGGTCGAGCGTGCGCGCACGAACTCGAACTCGATCACGCACCATTCCGTTTCTTCCCGCCGCTTCACGAACTCGTCCGCCACCTGGTTGCGCAGCGCGTCCGCCAGCTCGCAGCGCTCGGAGAGTGCCGTGGGCTGCGGGAGCGACGCGCGCGCGTGGTGGCCGTGCGCCACGGCGTGGAACAAGCAGCGCCCGTCGCCCGGGATGCCTGGTGTGCGGGGCGCGCGAGAGAAAAGAGGGGGGAAGAGGTAGGGTGAGGAAACGATAAGCGGGAGACAGAGGGGCGAAAAATAGATGAAAAGGAGGACAAGCGTGCGGAGGACGACGAACGGAGCGTGAAAGGAGGACAGCGGAGAGCGGATTAAGGAGAGCGGAGAGCGGGATGAGAAGAGCGGACACTCACGGACGACATGGTAATCTGTCGTCGACGCTTTCCGCGCATCCACCGACGCGTGCACCGCGCCGCTGCCCGCCGCTTCGCACGCCACCGACCGCAGCGCGGACGGCCCGCAATCTTGCCCCGGCCGGGCAAGCGCGGCGGACGCTGACGCGGCAGCCAACGTCAGCATGGCGAGATGCACCGGCTGAATGGGCTTCGCGGTCGCGGGTGACGCGGCGCCGAGTCCGCCGTGACCCACGCTGAGCGCCGCCAACGCGCCGCGGATAACATCGTCCGCCGCGACTATTTTGCCGCCGGAAGCTACCTTGAATGCCCTCTCCCCTAACCCCAAACTCCTGCCGAGCGCCGCTGCTGCTACGAGCTCGCTCCGCCTCGCTGCGAGCAACACGGACAGCGGCCCCTCGCCGCCGCCATAAAACCCGCTGGTATAGCCAGCGCCGCCGCTGCCGCCGCCGCCGCCGCCGGTGGCGTTCGCTGCGGTTGGGGCGCAGCCGCAGCCAATGCCGAGAGGGAGGGGTCGAGAGGGACGGAGGAGGAGAGCGCGGAGGAAGGGAGTAGAGCAGTGTACGGACGCCCAACTGGGACTTAGTCGAAGAAGCTCCTTCGACGCTGCTGACGCCACGTAGGACGCCCTCAACTGCGACGCGCCGCCGCCGCCGCCGCCGCTGGCGCCGGGGCCGCTACCCAAGCCTCGACCAAAGCTCGCTGCTAGACCCGCCGCGCCTCTCGCGGTGCCGTGGAAGCCGCTGGAGCAGCCATCGGCGCAGGCGAACGATCCAAGGCAGGCGGTGCAGGAGGCGCAGTCGACGGCGCCGATCGCGGAGGCGTTTAAGCCGCCAATGGCGGAAGCGGCGGAGGGGGAGGCGGAGGAGATGGTTGAGGCGGAGGAGAGGGTGAGCGCGTCGAGCGAGGCGAGCGGGCGCGTGGCGGCGTCCGGGCACGCGATGACGCAGCGGGTAGCGCTGGCGGTGTGGATCGGGGTGAGGACGCGACGGGGCAGCGCGGCGGAATGGAGAAGCATCGCAAGGGGAATGCGGCACGGACCGGACTAGGGCTGTTACAAAGGAGGGCGTGCAGAGAAGAGCGACGGGGGCTACAGAATAGACAGGCTAGAGTAGGAACTATGATCCACCGTTCGGCGACGAGTGCGGAGGAGGCGACGTGCGGGATACAGCGGTGGCTGCGGAGCGCAAAATGGTCGCCATGGAATGGGTATTCTTAGTAAGCGATCTATTCTGACGGAGCCATACAGCAACACGTTACGGAATAAACGGTAAATAAAAGACAAGCCGGTGCTGATGGGTTTATTCTGAGAGCCGCGGCGGCAGCAACGCGGGTGGAAACTGTATGTCCTGGTGAAGATACTGACGTGATGAACCCAGCTGGAAAATCGCCGTCGTCGTAACTCGTAACTCTCGAGGCACAACAGAAGTTAGGAAGAAAATGTGGAAGTTAAGTACCAGGACAACCGGAATGAGGGTGTTCAGGTAGATGCAGCCGTGGGCACTGGGCAGAATGCGGCTCCAGGAATGCAATGGCCGCAACACGCAATGCCACCGTCAGCCGAAGGATGGAGAAGGCGAACGTGGTTTTCGCTTGCTCTTACGAGATGGTTTCAGCTCTTTGGGGAGAGAGTGAACGCGAGCAAGCAGAAAGGATTAAAAAACTGAAGGAGCGTGTGGAAGGAGCGTGTGGAAGGTACGAGAAGGCAAGGGGGAAAGGGCATGGGCATGGGCATGGGCATGTAGGTGGAATGTGGAAAGAAATGCTTGCCGTATTCAGACCAAGGATGGTGAAGAGGAGGGATGGGTCGATTGCTTGCGGTTGCGACGCTGTGCGACCTTGCGAAAAAATGTTGCAGCCATCGGCGAGGAAATTTTGGCGGATCAGGGGTTGAGATTGTTTTGGCGGAACTAACGACGGGGTACAACGTCGCAAAAGGTTGCGCTTGACTGCAGTGGCTGTGTACGACTGACGGCAAATGTTGGCAAGTGCTTGAGCGATGGGTACGGTATGAAGTGGTGCAGTCTGTTGGCAGGGGGAAAATCCTGGTTGTTCACGCTTACGCGGCGCCACAGTGCGAGGCCACACACACACGCGTGGCGGCGAACTCCATGGTGGTCACTGACGGATTCAGGGGTCATTGTGTCATTATCCCGAGACCCGTGTGGTGACGATGATCCATTCACATTCTTGCACTTCATGCGCGCCCTGTCATCATCACCATGCCACATTGCCACAAAACCCCTTGCTGTTGGTCCTCGGACCGTCCAATTACAGCTCTTCATTCGACGTGGCCTTGTCCTCAGAGGACAGAATCGCTGTGATTGACATGTGGAATTCTCTGTGACGTGGCTAGTATTCCTTTGCGGACGCTGGACACGCGGGCCTACAAATTGACGAGTCACGATGAATGTTCAGATATGTTCAGGTACACGTCACTGAAATGCACACATTGAATGTGGTTGGGAAGGGATGGTACATCTCCTGCGTGAACAAGACGCAAGCAGGCAGGCACCGAACAAGAAGATTGGTTTCGCATCGGAATTGACTCAGGCTCACTAGCGTGTACATCGTCCAGACATCTACTGATTCTAAAATCTAAGCAGAATCAAACACCTGATTTATTTTAAAGCACAGATCAGTATGATGAACCAAGTAAGTTAACCCCTATCAGCACAATAGACGTGTCCAAATATAGAGTGAACGCAAGTTCAACCCAATCAAGGACACAATAATTAACGAAAAAAGTAGAGGAATCGCGCATACTTCAAGTGCACCATTCACTTCTCCCCGGCTTCATCCACTCCGGATTACACCACGCGAGCAAACTGGCTGTGCTCAGGGTGGCGGCGCTTACGGCCAGCCCTCCAGAGCGCCCAGCCAAAGATGAGGAGAGCGACAAGAATGACAATGAGTCCTCCAATGATCCACCCCGCATTGCTGCTGCTCCCCGCCTCAGAAGCCACCCACTGCGCCAGAGACTCATTGGAAGATGACCCGGATGGGCTTGGCACGGCGCTCTGTTGGAAAGGAGGTAGAGGCGAGGCAAGGAAAGACATGGAAAAATGGACCAACATGGATGAACTCCAAAACACAAGAAGTACATGCATAAAGAGCAGAGAGTAATGCATGGTGCAGCGTTATAAACGAGCAATCACCTGTAGCTCTTCCGGCACGGAGTAGGGGGCAGCAATCTGCTGGCCCTCAGGCAGGGTGACCCCTTGAGGCAGAGGGCCAGGGCGCAAGACGAGCTCTGGCTTCAGGAACGAGTCTCCCCCCGTGTGCTGCCATTTCGCCACATCCTGTGTGTGCCAACATGGGACCCGTTCCAGGTGGGGAGCGAAAGGGGAGGGAGGAGGGAGTGGGACATGCGGGGCCAACGGAAGTGGTGAGGGTGGGGAAAGAGTGTGACAGGGAGAGATGATGGGGAGGAAGGGGAGAAAGAAGATTGAAAAACGAGTGTTGGTAACATGCAGGCACAAAAGTTCTGTAGCTCAAGTTGTAAACACCTTCGAAGAACGTGGCACAAAGGAATATACTGGCATGGGCGCGGGGGGGGGCAATAAGTGTGGTGTCTGCACGTGAAGGGAGAGGGAATTCAAGCATGGTGAGGGTGCAGGGTGCAGGGTGAGGGTGAGGCGGGGGGGACACGATGTGGCAGAAAATGGACTCAACTCCTTGACACACATGCACATTCCCTATCAACCCATGCCACACGCTCCCATACCACTCCCCCCTCCACATCCCTCACTCCCCCGACACACAAACCACCGACCTTCCAGCCAACCCCAACGAGGTTGTTGAGGGCGAAGGTGGCGCGCTTGAGGTCCTGGTTGCGGTCGCCGGTGTCGGGGTTGAAGGACACGGGCCCCGTCACGCCCTTGAAGTGAATGCCGTTGCCCGTGCGGTTCTTGAACACCTCCAACACCAGCCGCGGCGTTATGCCCGATTGGCCTGCGGGACAAGAGATAGGGGCGCGGGGTGGAGAGGGGTGAAGAGGGGGGGGGCGAGGGGTGGAGAGGGGGGGGCGAGGGGTGGAGAGGGGGAAGCGAGGGGTGGAGAGGGGGAGGTGAAGGGGGGATGACAGATGGAAGGAGAAGAACTTGCATGGGTACTTGCGTTTACAACCAAGGCAGGGAGGAAGGAGGATGGTTTTTACAGGAGAACGCGGATGGTTACTTGCTCTCACAACCACAGCACAGATTGGGGAAGGGTGGGTGGAGGGCGTGGGAAGAAAAGATAGCACGTCATGAAAGCCCCCTCCACTGCACCACCAATACCCAGTCCCAGAACCTCCCCTTGCCACCCACTGACGTTACCACACCATCCCACCCAACCCGATGCGACCCCACCATCCCGTCCCATCCCCCCTCCCATCCGACCCATTCCCACTGCATCAGCAAGTAAGCCATCCCATGCCATCCCATGCCATCCCATGCAGCTGGCACGTACGCTGCACGACGAGGATGTTTTCAAAGGCCTTGAAGAAGGCCCAGATGGCGTCGATGAGGTGCAGCACGTACGCACGCGGCTGCTCAAAGCGCGGCGTCACCGGCAGCGTCAGCAGCCCGGGGTACTCGCTGTGCTGCTGCTGCTGCCAGTACGCTCGGAACTCCTCAAAGGGCGACGCTGCGTCCGTGTCCGCCTTGCCTCCTGCATGCCGTAAGGTGGCGGGTTAGGGGCGCGTGGGAGGGGGGGAAGTGGGGAAGAGGGACGGGTGGCAGGTGGGGAGGGGTGGAGGGAAGGGGGAAAAAGGGTGGCAGGTGGAGAGGGTTGGGGGGGACGGGGAGGAGGGGCGTTGGAGGTTAGGGGTATAGGGAGCTTGCAACGGAGTGTAAGGCAACGAGGGAGGAGACGGTGGGAAACTGATGGTGCACAAGGGAGGTGGAGTGGGGATCAAGGGCGGAGACTAGGAAAACACGGAGAGAGACAGAGACAAGTGCTGGCGGAGTCAGCAGAAAAACACACGAGACAGAAGAGAGAGGAGGCGAGATGAGGGGCGGGCATGTGCAGAGCAGGGCGTGAGAGGGTGGGTGGGTGAGTGGGTGGGTGGGTGAGTGGGTGGGTAGGTTAGTGGGTGGGTGAGTGGGTGGTGGTGACTCACGGTAGGGGCTGATGCCCAGCTCGCCCTGCAGTGCTGACCCCAGTGGCACTGACGCTGCGTCTGGTGGACCGGGCAGGGGGCAAAAGGGAGTGGCGCAGAGGGCAGGGGGCAGAGGGGAGGGGCGCAGAGGGCAGGGGGCAGAGGGGAGGGGCGCAGAGGGCAGGGGGCAGAGGGGAGGGGCGCAGAGGGCAGGGGGCAGAGGGGAGGGGGCAGAGGGGAGGGCGCAGAGGGGGAGGGGCAGAGGGGAGGGCGCAGAGGGGAGGGGGGAGGGGCGCAGAGGGGAGGGGCGCAGAGTGGAGACGACAGTGGGGCAGCGAACAGAGGGCAGAGGAAAAACGGCAGTGAGGCCTTCTCTCGAGACTGGGGTTATCGAGGTGAGGAAAATGCACGGTTCTGTGTGGGTTACATGGCGGATGCATACATGAGCGTGTGAGCGGGCACATGCATGGCATTGGATGGCAATACATGGCAGCATTACAGCATAGCAGCACAGTGTGCATGTGCGTTGGTGGTACAGCATACCAATGCCCACAAGGTCGAAGGTAGTGCCTCCATCAGACACCAGGTACCACCAGGGGTAGCCCAGCAGACCCTGCCGTGCCACACGCACACCAGGGGTGATTGCGCGGAAGAAACGGGCGAAGGGGTGTGCGGAAGGAAGGGCGGGATGGGCACTAGGAGCTGAGAAGGAAGGAGAGGAGGGTCCTTAGAACCTCAGGAGCATTAACGCGAAGGAGGTTCCAAAACGACGGATTTACTTGCACAAACACGCCAGCAGAGAAGAGACGTGTGGATAAAGGGAGGAGGGGACACGAGCGGGCATGAGAAGAGGAGCAGGAGAGGAATCAGAGCCAGCAGGCAGATTGGGGAGGGGCAAAGACTGGAAGCACTGGGAGAGAGAGAGAGGAACAGCGGGAGCGGGCCTCACGAGGTCGTAAGCAGCGCGCCAGAGCCCTTCAACGACGTTGGGCAGTGCGGCGAAGATGACAATGGTGGAGTCGTTGGAGGTGATGAGGCGGCCGTTCACGTAGAAGAACTGCTTCCACTCGTACGTGCTCGATGCTGCCGGTGGCGGGTACGGCACGCGGATGGTCGTGGAGCCTAGCTCCCTGCGCTGCGCGTAGTTCTGGTGAGGGGGAGGGGGAGGGGCGGGCGGGGTTGGGAACGGGAGAGGAGGGAGTGGGTTGGGAGAGGGATGGACGGATGAGGGACCAGGGGTTGAGAAAAGAGGACGAGGTGCGGGGATTAAGGAGGAAGGTTTTTGGGGAAAGGGGGTGGAAAAGGATGATGGCAATGCCTTGAGGATGTGTTCCCATGTGCTCGTTCGTTGGGTATCCGTGCTCTATTCTCGAAACATGATCTACACTGTGCGACTATGTATTAATCTGTGCGAATTCGTACGACCCTGTGCGACTCTTTGGGTCTCTGTGCGACTCCTTAGGTCTCTGTGCGACTCTGTCTGAATGTACTTGTGCGAGGGGCAGGGAAGTGAGGCAGCGCACCTGAATGTCGTCCCTGAGGTTATTGCCATACGTCTCATCGGAGTAGAACAGATAAATGTTGGTCCACCCGTACTGCCCTATCTGCAGCAGGAAAACACCCACGGCGAGAGAGGGGGGCAATTCCGAGTGAAGGAGAGTGCGTGCAGCGTGTGTCACAGGCAAGAACGGAATTTGTTCCAAAACGGCAAGAGATCTAAGGGTGGTGAATGAACGGAAAGAGCGAGGGCGTGCAGGGGAGTGGTGGGGCGAGGGAAGGGTGGAGTGGTTACCACGTCCTGAATGGCCTTGGCTTGGAACCGATCGCTGTACCTGCAGTGGGCAGTGGGCAATGGGCAGCGGGTCAGTAACAGGGGGTCGCGGGCAGAAGAAGATAGAATTGCGATGGGTGAGGGGGGGGAACGGGCAACGACCGCGAGATGAGAACTGTAGCAGTGTACAATAGGGGGTGGCAGGAGCGCTTGAGGCTCGTGCACGCATGAACCGTGATAGCTCGTGCGTCCGGTCCAGATTTAGCCAGTGCACTGCGTGAAGTGACGATGGAAGAAAAGTGCGCGGGTAGAGGTACGGGAAGTACGAGAAGCGAAGCAATGGTGGAAGGGCGCTATTCATAATCATGGATGATTTGATGTCGAAAGAGGGGATATCCAGCGGGAACAGCATACACTCCCCGCGTGCATCCCTAACGGATCTTAACGGGGCAGCGCGTGTAACGCGTACACGGTGCGGAAGAAGGTGCTGTAGAGGTCCCCGGAGAAGGTGTCGGCTGTAGCGGCGAAGGACACGAGCGGGACATAGCGCGAGCGCAGCACCTGGCTCGCGCCCTTCACCGCCTCGGAACACGCGGGCCCCACCACGCCCACCACCAAGTCCTCCACCAGTTTCTGCCAGCACGTTGCGCGGAGGGAGGGACGGTTGAGTCAGTTTAGATCTCGCAGCATGCGGACCCGGCTACAACCACCACCAGATGGTCCGCTAGTTTTTGTCAGCGCGTCGGGGGAAGGGGTTGATGGGGTTCCGGTAAGGAGATGGGAGGTGGTGGGAAACGGAGGAGAGAGGGAGAGGAGTGGGGGAGAGGAGCAGGAGGAAGAATCGGGATGGTAGCACTTACGGCGCTATTTCTTCCCATGTCCGAACAGGGATCCACAATCAATAGATAAAATGCTTTACAAACGTTCTGAGCGACAAAAGGTGGCAAACAAAAAAAAGTCATTCATGTTGCTCCTTTCGTGCATCTGTCAACCTCGAAGCTCTCCCCAGCCAACTCCTGTCCCCCCTCGAGCCGTTCCAACATATCCGCGCCTCCGCATCCGAGCACCCCAAGCCTGAGCCATGCTCCGCCCCCGCGCGCGTCCGCGCGTCCCCGCGTGCGCCTTTGCATCCCTTCTCACACATACATCCCCAAGATCACGCGCGTCGTCCGCGCGTTAAGCGCGTACCTCGGCGGCGTCAGCGGCGGCCTGCTGGTTGCAGTTGGAGTTGGCGATGAAGGGCTTCACGCGCACCAGGTGCCGGTACTGCCGCCCCAACACGTCCACCGCTATGCGCGCCGCCGAAATCCTGGATGAGAACGCACCATTCGAGAAAAGAACAGATAGATGTACAGCAAGATTTACTTAGGTGCTGAGCGGGTCGCGAAACGGACAGCGTGTATGGATTCGTGAAGCAATGCGACGGAAGATGTGAATGTCGTGCGCGTGATGCGACATGCCGTTGTTCGGAACATGAAGGAGCAACCATTCCGAAAATATGCGATGCAAAAAGAATCGGCCAGTGGCTTACCACTCATCGGCAAGCCGAGCTGGCACTGCGGAGTCACCGTCCGGGAATGGCAGCAGGAATCCGAGTCGAACATCCTCCACAGCCGTGCCGTGCGACACGCACATCACGAGCAGCACCGCTGCGAGCAGCGGCATTGCCGACGCCATTTTCGTCGGATTTCCCATTTCGGAAGGCGGACTAGCTTCCCACGAAACCGAAGATCTATGAGAGGCTAGCTAATGCCGCCGACAGAGCCAAGCAACAAACCGCCAGACTCGGTTCTTGAAATTGATTCTTGGCAAAAAATCGGTTTTCAACTTGGCTCATACCTAGATTTCACTGCAATGCAAACCAAGACGAGCGAGTGCACATCTGACGAGCAGGAAGGCAGGCTGGGGGAGGGGCAAGGGGGTGGGGAAGTTGGGGGAGCCGGGGAGGTTGGGGGAAAATCGAGGTCGGATTGGTTGGACGGACGGAAGTGGGGTTGACGGTTGCTGAATGTGAGGCGCGAGGGGCAGGGGGGGGGGGGAAAATATGCGCGTGCGCGCAGCTTTTGAGAAGGTCAAGCGGAAGTGATGGCCAAGCGGAAGCGGGAAGAGGTCACACCCAAGACGGGCGCGCCAGAGAACGTGTTAGCGGGCGGCGGAAAGATTTCCGCAGCATCAAGCGGACATTGGCTAGTGGCTAGGATGGTGGGGCAGGTTTTGCGCGAGAACTGAATGCTAGGTTGGGGGGTGGACAAATCAAAGGGTTCTCAGGGCGTATTTTCATAACGTGTGAAAAAACTGTGTCATGTGATCCTGGCATGGTTTGAGGATTCCGAACCCAAAATTTCCAGTTCCAGGCCGAATTCATGTCATTAATCCAGCTTTGTTCCTTCTTCTCAGGACACCACCTTCGACCCCAGAATCATCCCCGCTCTCGTCTAGAGCATATCCTGTAACAATATGTATTTTCTCCATGTCTCATTTACATCCATATCCTGTAAAAAATCTGTGACAACCTTGCATGACTCTATGTTACCTCTACAAGACATCCATATTGCATCAATTACACTGGCCAGAGAACCCATATGATACGGAAAAGGGCAAATTTCCACCAGCGCATACGCATCATGTAGCCAGAGACACAACCTGAAATTAGTACCATTCAGGCCAGGCGGGACATGAAATTTAGTCACTATTCCTAGCCCACTAGAATATGCAATAAAAATCAGGTTGTTGAATGCTATCCCTACACCTATAGGTATTCACGCGCTTTCTAGGCACTTGGCGGCAAAAACGGCCGAAATCGTAGGCGCCGAACTTTTCTTCGCACAAGAACCAAGCCGAAAAGGCTCTAGTATGTGTATTTGAACCTGGCCCACTAGAATATGCAATAAAAATCAGGTTGTTGATTCCTTTTCCCTACACCTGTAGAGATTCACGCGCTTTCTAGGCACTTGGCGGCAAAAACGGCCGAAATCGTAGGCGCCGAACTTTTCTTCGCGCAAGAACCAAGCCGAAAAGGCTCTAGTATGTGTATTTGAACCTGAACCACTAGTATATGCAATAAAGATTAGGTTGTTGAATGCTTTTCCCTACACCTACAGGGAATCACGCGCTTTCTAGGCACTTGGCGGCAAAAAACGGCCGAAATCGTAGGCGCCGAACTTTTATTCGTACAAGAACCAAGCCAAAAAGGCTCTAGAATGTGTGTTTGGACCTGAACCACTAGAATATGCAATAAAAGTCAGGTTGTTGAATGCTTTTCCCCACACTTATAGGAATTCACGCGCTTTCTAGGCACTTGGCGGAAAAAACGACCGAAATCGTAGGCGCCGAACTTTTCTTCGCGCAAGAACCAAGCTGAAAAGGCTCTAGTATGTGTATTTGAACATGGCCCATAAAAATGTGCAATAAAAATCAGGTTGTTGAATGCTTTTCCCTACACCTATAGGGATTTACGCGCTTTCTAGGCACTTGGCGGCAAAAACGGCTGAAATCGTAGGCGCCGAACTTTTCTTCGCACAAGAACCAAGCCGAAAAGGCTCTAGTGTGTATATTTGAACCTGGCCTACTAGAATATGCAATAAAAATCAGGTTGTTGAATGCTTTTCCTTATACCTATAGGGATTCAAACGCTTTCTAGGCACTTGGCGGCAAAAACGGCCGAAATCATAGGCGCCGAACTTTTCTTCGCACAAGAATCAAGCTGAAAAGGCTCTAGTATGTGTATTTGAACCTGGCCCACTAGAATATGCAATAAAAATCAGGTTGTTGAATGCTTTTCCCTACACCTATAAAGATTCACGCGCTTTCTAGGCACTTGGCGGCAAAAACGGCCGAAATCGTAAGCGCCGAACTTTTCTTCGCACAAGAACCAAGCCGAAAAGGCTCTGGTATGTGTATTTGAACCTGGCCCACTAGAATATGCAATAAAAATCAGGTTGTTGAATGCTTTTCCCTACACCTATACGAATTGACGCGCTTTCTAGGCAATTGGCGGAAAAAACGGTCGAAATCGTAGGCGCCGAACTTTTCTTCGCACAAGAACCAAGCCAAAAAGGCTCTGGTATGTGTATTTGAACCTGGCCCACTAGAATATGCAATAAAAATTAGGTTGTTGAATGCTTTTCCCTACACTTTAGGGATTCACGCGCTTTCTAAGCACTTGGCGGCAAAAACGGCCGAAATCGTAGGCGCCGAACTTTTCTTCGCGCAAGAACCAAGCTGAGAGACTCTAGTCTGTGTATTTGAACCTGAACCACTAGTATATGCAATAAAGATTAGGTTGTTGAATGCTTTTCCCTACACCTATAGGGATTCACGCGCTTTCTAGGCACTTGGCGGCAAAAACGGTCGAAATCGTAGGCGCCGAACTTTTCTTCGTGCAAGAACCAAGCCAAAAAGGCTCTAGTATGTGTGTTTGGACCTGAACCACTAGAATATGCATTAAAAATCAGGTTGTTGAATGGTTTTCCCTACGCCTATAGGGATTCACGCGCTTTCTAGGCACTTGGCGGCAAAAACGACCGAAATCGTAGGCGCCAAACTTTTCTTCGCACAAGAACCAAGCTGAAAAGGCTCTAGTATGTGTATATGAATCTGGCCCATTAGAATATGCAATAAAAATCAGGTTGTTGAATGCTCTTTCCTACACCTATAGGGATTCACGCGCTTTCTAGGCACTTGGCGGCAAAAACAGCCGAAATCGTAGGCGCCGAACTTTTCTTCGCACAAGAACCAAGTTAAAAAGGCTCTAGTATGTGTATATTTGAACCTGGCCCACTTGAATATGCAATAAAAATCAGGTTGTTGAATGCTTTTCCCTACACCTATAGGGATTTACGCGCTTTCTAGGCACTTGGCGGAAAAAACGGCCGAAATCGTAAACGCCAAACTTTTCTTCGCACAAGAACCAAGCCGAAAAGGCTCTAGTATGTGTACTTGAACCTGGCCCACTAGAATATGCAATAAAAATCAGGTTGTTGAATGCTTTTCCCTATGCCTATAGGGATTCACGCGCTTTCTAGGCACTTGGCGGCAAAAACGGCCGAAATCATAGGCGCCGGACTTTTTTGCGCACAAGAAACAAGCTAAAAAGGGTCTAGTATGTGTATTTGAACCTGGCCCACTAGAATATGCAATAAAAATCAGGTTGTTGAATGCTTTTCCCTACACCTATAAAGATTCACGCGCTTTCTAGGCACTTGGCGGCAAATACGGCCGAAATCGTAGGCGCCGAACTTTTCTTCGCACAAGAATCAAGCCGAAAAGGCTCTAGTATGTGTATTTGAACCTGGGCCACTAGAATATGCAATAAAAATCAGGTTGTTGAATGCTTTTCCCTACACCTATAGGGATTCACGCGCTTTCTAGGCACTTGGTGGCAAAAACGGCCGAAATCGTAGGCGCCGAACTTTTCTTCGCACAAGAATCAAGCCGAAAAGGCTCTAGTATGTGTATTTGAACCTGGCCCACTAGAATATGCGATAAGAGTCAGGTTGTTGAATGCTTTTCCCTGCGCCTATAGGGATTCACGCGCTTTCTAGGCACTTGGCGGAAAAAACGGCCGAAATCGTAGGCGCCGAACTTTTCTTCGCGCAAGAACCAAGCCGAAAAGGCTCTAGTATGTGTATTTGAACCTGAACCACTAGTATATGCAATAAAGATTAGGTTGTTGAATGCTTTTCCCTACACCTATAGGGATTCACGCGCTTTCTAGGCACTTGGCGGCAAAAACGGTCGAAATCGTAGGCGCCGAACTTTTTTTCGCGCAAGAACCAAGCCAAAAAGGCTCTAGTATGTGTGTTTGGACCTGAACCACTAGAATATGTCAAACATTGTATGTTTATATTGTGTAGGCTGTAGTGGGTTACACCTTAGGGGGTACACAAAGTTAGGGTTTCCTACTTGTACCAAACTCTGAGCTAGTTCATTCATTCCTCGTTCAGTTATTCTGACATGGTTTCAGAGCAGGTCCTTCGCTAGGACCTAAGTTTTTTTTTTTCGGGCCCACCTCTACTACCTACCTACCTACTGTCGGAGTGCTGCGTTAGCGCCTCCCCCTCCGCGCCTTCGTGCGCCCTCGTGTACGGCCCCTTAAGGCCCCGTCGACCCCGCACGCTGCCCCTTAGTGGCCCCGTCGCACCCGCGCGCGCCCAGATTGCGGCCCCGCGGCCCCGTCGACCCACCCGCGCGCACCTCGTTTAGCGGCCCCGCGGCCCCGTCGCCCCGTCGACCCACCCTTGACGCCCCGCGCGCACCTCGTTTAGCGGCCCCGCGGCCCCGTCGCCCCGTCGACCCTCACCTAGCGGCCCCGCGGCCCCGTCGACCCACCCGCGCGCACCTCGATTAGCGGCCCCGCGGCCCCGTCGCCCCTCACTTAGAGGCCCCGCGGCCCCGTGCGCACCTCGTGTCGCGACCCCGCGGCCCCGTCGACCCACCCCTGGTGGCCCCGCCTAGAGGCCCCGCGACCCCGTCGACCTGTGCGCACCCCGCCTAGAGGCCCCGCGACCCCGTCGACCCGTGCGCCCCCCGCCTAGAGGTCTCTGCGGCCCCGTCGTCCCCGCGCGCGCCCCGCATAGAGGCCCCGCTGGCCCCGTAGACCCCGCGCACCGCCTCTTCGCGGCCCCGTCGCTTCTACTGATACTGCTACTGCTGCTGCTGCAGCTGCTACCGCTACT